CGCCCAGCGCCGGCCAATGGCGGCGCGGCCCCCCCCTTCTCCGCCCCGCCCCCGCGCATGCGCGCCGCCCGCTTCCGGGTCCCCGCCCCGGACCCTCCCGGACGGCGGCGTTGAAAAGGGGAAGCCGCCGATCCGCCCCTTCCCCCCCGGGACCTCCGAGACCCCCCCGGGACCACCGGAGTCGGTAGGAGCCGCCCCGCCCCTTCACGGGAGGGAGGGAGGGGGGAGGGGGAGGCGGTGTCGCCGTGGAAACCCCGCCCCGGCGCGCCTGGGCCTGGAGGGGTCGCGACCGGAAGTGACGTAACGGGCGGGGGGGGCCGCACGGAGGGAGGGAGTTGCCGGTAGGGGGCGCGCTGGGACCCCGAGTTAGGCCGCGCCCCCTCTTTCCAGGTCACGCCCCCCGATCTGGCCACGCCCCCTATTTCCCAGGATCGTGATTGGCCGTGGAGGACATGGATGGGGCGGAGCCAGCCAATGGGGAAGCGGCGGTTAACCGAGCAGCCAATGAGAGTGGAGACGCTGTAGAAGCAGCGGCCAATGAGCAGCGAGCAGCTGGAGGTTCCTCCAATAGGGATGGAGGGAGCCTGGGGACGGCCAATGAGGAGCTCGGGCCGGCTGGTGCAACATCCAATGGGAATCTGCCGCTTCAGGGCTCGTCCAATGAGGGGAAGGGGAGCCCTGGCTCATCCAATGAGCAGCCAGCCCTGGGGGACTCGGCCAATGAGGACGGAGGAGGTCAGCATGGCCCGGCCAATGAGGAGGCAGAGCCACAGGACCTGACCAATGAGGCCAAAGGGCCACAGGAGCCAGCCAATGAGGGCGCAGAACACAAAGCCTCAGCCAATGAGGTTGCAGCAGCAGCACAAGCCCCGCGCAACAACGATGCAGCAGCACACGGGCCAGCCAATGAGGAGGCAGCACCTGGAGCCGCAGCCAATGAGGACAGCGCCCTCCCGTCACCGACCAATGGCAGGGCAGAACCCAGGGATCCACCCAGCGCCTGCCCCGCCCCCTCCGACCCTCCCTCCAGTCAGCACGCGGCCCCGCCGGATCCAGCCAATGGGCTGCAAGCCCTCCCTGCCCCGCCCACCAGGACCAGAGACCCCTGGGATTGGTCGCTGGAGGAGGCGTGGCTTCGCGCGCCGGAGGGGGAGTGGCTTGAGGAGTTTGGGGAGGGGCCTGAGGGGCTGGAGGAGGACGAGGGGGAAGACGAGGAGGAGGAGGAGGATGAGGAGGAGGATGAGGAGGAGGAGGAAGGGCAGCACTGGTGGCACAGCCCCGACGGCGCCATCTCCAAGCGGATCCTGCGCCGGGGCCGCGGCCTCTCCCGGCCCGGCCCCGGCTCCCTGTGCCGCGTCCTCCTGACCCCCGCGGGGGTCCCCGCGGGCTGGGGGGGCCCCCCCTGCCCCTCGTCGGGCGCGGGGCGCTGGCAGACCCTGCGGGTGGGCGCGGGCGAGGGCGGCTGGGCGGCGGCGCTGGACGCGGCGCTGGAGACGATGGCGCGGGGCGAGCGGGCGCGGCTGCGGCCGGCGGGGGCCGGGGCGGCGCTGGGGGTGCGCCTGGGGGGCTTCACCCCCCCGCCGCCCTTCTGGGAGAGCCCCCCGGGGCGGCGGCGGCGGGCGGCGGCGGCCCTGGCGTCGCGGGCGGCCTCCCTGCTGGCCGGGGGCTCGGCGTGGCCGGCGGC